GCATACTGTATAGGTAAGCAAACCAGCCCTTTTGGCGTTTCGGCTGGGACCGTATGCTGAATGTTGGGGAGGGGATGGGGTCCCCAACGGTCGACGGTTTACTTCAACTCGGTTGGTACGATAGGAGAGTACTGACGCAAGTGGTGCAGCTGGTCCAGCAGCTCCGCCAGAAGGGCTGGTTTGCTCACCCCAGGACTAAGCCTTGGAGAGGGGACGGACCCGTCCTCTCTTTAAGGCTTAGTTCTGAGGTAAGCACCAAATTGTGGCGGTTCTAAGGACCGAGTTGAAGTGGTCCGTCCACCGTCGGGGACTCCATCCCCTCCCCAACATTCAGCATACGGTCCCAGCCGAAGCGCCAAAAGGGCTGGTTTGCTTACGTCCCTTATAAGGACTGAACAGCGATGACGCGGAAGATGTGTTTTTCTAAGCGGCCTGATAAAGCCGAAAAGTGGGTAAAATATCAAAATCAGATAAATGAGAAATTCGGTCACTTAGAGTTAATTGAAACCTGTGACACTGGTCCAATAAATTTCAATATTTAGAGAAATGGCCCACTAACATGCAAAAACCCTTTGAGAAGCGCTGCACCTCACGAGAAACTATTATGGTTACGCCCGTTCACAGCTAAAGACATCGCCGATATTCATAACAGATTTCTGAATTGATGCAAGTCCCCGCGACGCACACTCGCTAGGGCACATCGAAAACAAAGTATAGATGAAAACGAGTCGACAATTAAATAATGAGAGAAGTTAATATGAAAAGCGTGTAGCAAGTAAAGCAGAGGAAAATGGATATCACCTTTCGGACGCTCTCATTGTATTGAATGTGTAGAAATAAACCTAGTAAGAAGTGACCCCAACAATCTCAATAAAACAAAGTAGTAACTACATAGTTCGATGTTGAGCACGTAGAGTGCGAAGGGATTCTAGTTAATTTTTCTAGGAGAAAAAAAGAAATTGAAATGTCCTAGATGGTCATGTGAGAATAATGCGTTTCACAATCTCTATTAAATGTGGGAGTTCACGACAACTCGAGCATATTGGACAAGGTAAGAGAAACTGTGGCCCAATTAAAGGGCTATAAAGCAGCATCCGGGCCTAGCCTTCTGTAAATGTCCCTGGAAGATTTTTGGTGAGTCTACAGATCGTGGAGGAGAGGGGGACACTCCACTGCGCTCTCCAGCGCTAGGATAAGGTTTAGAGAGCTCATGAACGTAAGCGGCTCACTAAAAGCAGATTTACGATAAAAAGCAATCATTTAGAATTGTGCCAAAGGTGGGAGTGTACAGGAAGAGAAACCATGAGATGAGACCTCCTCCTTGTCCGCTGATTTCGCGATTGGTGACCTTCATCGTTGTGCCCTCTTCAACGCTAATGCTCCCTCTACTAATTATCACTTGCTGCATATAGACCCGCGGCGAGTTATTAGATAGTCGGTGGGCGTACTGCGCCAACTGCGCCAAAAATGAGCCATGCTAGATCGCCGAGGTCAAATCCTTGGCGGCCAATTGCGCGCCAGTCCGCACCCTGAGGAGGTTCGCCTGTCTCCCCGCCAGGCAATTTTCCCTTCCTTGACCTTCGCTCTTATTGTCGAAATTCTATCAAAATACATTCTGAACAAGTGCATAAGAAGCTTTTACATGTACACACATTTCCACCTGCAGCGGTTCAAGGAAAAGGTCCTGAAACAGGGGCGTGGAACTTTATCCATGTCTAAGGAAGGAGTAGCTCCAGGGTGTACGATAAGGTGCAAAAAATTGGGTAGGATGTGAGAATGGTGTACAACCTCCACAGGTCCTCATCAAAATACACTGAATGAGTCATTTACCTTTGTCTTATATTTAGCTTGAAAGAATCAAAAGCTAGCGACCCCGCCCCCAAACTCCATTTTCACTTGCTCGTGGGCAAAAGGGAGTTTGTTGGGCCCCTCCTATGTTATCCGTACAGCTGATTATTTATAGCTATTTCTGTCATATTAATGCCTTTCATTCGCTTGCTATCTCATGATTATTTCATCAATATTCGCACTGATTTGTTCTATCCTTGTAAATGCGTCAATTTTTAGTAAGTTGAACGCCTAGAATTATAGGAACAACAGAAAATATCAGTTTTTCAATAGATCAGTACATACCTGTTGTGTTCTCTGGCGAAGATGATATGCAGACTGCTCAACCCGATGAAAAGATTTGCTCGAATATCACCTGCTGTGAATGACGCCGTGCATTTATCTTTGTGAGGACATTTTGATTGATCAAATGGTAGCACCAACTGAAAAGAGAGGACTCTTTGGAGACGTATACAAAAGAGAAAATCCTAATCTATGACTCTTCTGAGAAGCTTATACGATATAATTTTGCGCAGTAAATTCAACGTTACATTTGGACTTCTGTAGCAGTGCCTAAAGACGGCGGAGATAGAAAAGCCAATTTTGGCGCAATCGCGAGATACAGGCACTATGGTGGCAATGCATCTCGAACCACATAGAAGATCCTTTTTTAAAAATGGGACTATGCTTTGAATGGGGGGGAAAGACTCAAGGTCAGCGAAAAGGTTTGAATCTTCCCGAGGTTTCTGTCAATTCCTAGGGTTATTCCCAGAGGATGCCCCCGTATCTTGGTGTAGCACCCAAATTTCCATACGTTATGATTACTGTGATCAAGTGAATTCTATTTCATCCCGACTGCTATCAAGAACGTCCTACCCACTGTGGATTTAAACTTAGCCCCTTGAGGATTCAAAAGAAGAATTTAAAGGAACGGTAATCAAAACGTGGTATTTCCGAATGCGTCAATCATACAATCTTAATCGGAATCATGGGAAAATCTGGGTGGTTGACAAAGCAGGTTACGGGGAAGGGCGAAGGCCAGCGATGTATGTAGAATTGGGCTTGGGCGATTCTAGTGGTAGTGCTTAAAGGACGAATTCACGATGAAAAAGCAACCCATTTCAAATTAACCTAGGGATGGTGAGTGGTAGAAAGAAGAACCATGAGAAACGGCCCAGAACCCGAGAAATGGTACCCCTTCCTTGCCCGTTGATTCGAGCATTGATGCGACTCTCATCGCTGTGCCCTCTTCAACACTACGCTCTCTCAGCTATCTAATCACTCGCCACGTATTGAACTACGGCGAGTGATCAGATGATCGGTGGGCGGAGATCGCCGGACCCGCCAGCTTTGAGGCATAATAGGTCGCCGAGGTCAAATTTTTCGATGCGAATTGCGCATCAGTTCGCACCCTCAGGAGGTCCGTGGGTTACTCAACTAGGTAAATTACTTCTTCCTCGACCTCCATTCTAATCGTAAAATCCTCCTTTAAAGCAACAGTTATGCAGGGTGGGAAACGAAGCTGGTAGACGACGGCAATCCCCTCGGCCGATTACGACTTAGCTTACTTTAGCTCCTTCCTAGCGGTTTCCCAAGTTGTGTTTTTGTTCACTAACACTTCTTATGTTCATGGCTGGGGCTGTATAGCTCTAAAAAGGAAATCGGCCGAGGGGGCGTCTCCAACCACGCCCCCCCCCCGGACTGTATTGCTGTTAAGGAATCTTCCACGGAAAAACATCGCCTCCATTCCTACAAAAAAACGATACCTTAGGCCCCTTGCTTCATGAAGATAGCAAAAAGAACGGAATAGGCGCGATGGTTTTGATAATAATTATGATAACCAGTTCGACTATGAAAATTTTGAATTCCCGCTGTAAAACTTCCACAACTGTTAGCGGCGTGGAGTCAACACGTGCAAAACGTGTCAAAGCTGAGTGAAACGTGAATGAGATTCATTATTGGGCCTATCCGATAACTCGTACACCGTGGATCCGCACCTGCCACGCACTTCGTCACAGAAGCACTTCCGGTCCCGCCTACTGGTCCAATCCGGTCCCACAGATGGGTCTTTCCAGGGCTGTTTCTCTTGGGGGTTTCATCATTTTCGCTCTGAACTTTGCATATGGTCTTCAATGACCATGCCCAACACCTGTACACAAGGAAAGGATAAGCAGTCTTTCCGTGGAAGATTCCTTTAACCGGAGCTTGCATGACAGAGGCCGTAGATGATATGGGCAGAATCCGACCAGATCCAACCCTCGTGGTAAACTGCGTAACTTGCCACCGCATCAAGCCCACCTTCCGAAGAAGTAAATTCGAAAAAAAAATCATTCAAGGAGTCCGCTGAATGGCTATGCTCCCCAGGGTCAGCCTCCTGCCCACATTATTTGAAAGATGGGGTCGCATTTGCGATTTTGAGAAGGTGGGTCGCGTTCTTAACCACCCCTGGGAAAAGTGTGAGCAGCGGTTATAAAAAGAGGGTGGTATTCGACGGGTTGCGACGAGCTTGGTGAAAGTTTGATGAAACTAGGATAAAGTATGTAAAATTGGCTGATGTACAGCTCCATGATGCCAATTCAGGTTGGGGAGTTGGGAGAGTCTCCTAAGGCTGGTGGTGGTATTGGGGCGTCCCCCAGAAAGGAGATCGCAAATTCTTTAGGAAAGTTGACGGCTGTTATGCCGGTAACAGCAATCTAATTCGACATCGAAGAAAGCTTCATATTGGATGGACCAGTGGGTTTGCGCAAGGAAGGAACTATCTTTCGATGAACATCAGAATCTTTGTAAGGCCCCGTTCATAGTTCGCGGTGAATGCGATTTGACGATTTGGCGATATAGCGATTATGTTGAAAGGAATGTATGCGTATCGACTGAAGGATTTTCGACATATCGCACCCTTATCCTTCGAACATGACCACCAAATCGTCAAATCGCTTTATCGCTTAGTCGGCAAATTTTAGATCGATACGTATGTTTTCCTGTCAGCATAATCGCTAAATCGGCGATGTATGCAAGGGGCTAAAGGTTGTGGACGGGTCGAGAACTCTACGCCACGAACCCCCCTCCCCGTACTTCCAACCAGGGTCAGTCCTATCGTTGTTACTTTTTGAAAAATTTTTACGACCCCCCTCCCCCAAGGTGGATTTGGTACGACCCCCTTTTCGACACCTCGACCACCATATTCCTCTCTATAGTATTTAATTCTGGTACCACTCAACCCACCAAACTCCGCCCACTTTTTCCTCCAAAAATGCCGTCGAGCGGGGGGGGGGGGGGGGGACGCACGCTGAAACGGCGAATTTTTCTCCGTGCGTATAGCATACATTTCAGGGCACCTGAAGCAGAATACGACCCCCCCCTCATACAACTCAACAAGGCATACGACCCCCGTTGTTACTAGTAAAATAGTTAGGGTGACCTGCCTTCAACTGACCTGAGCCGCAAGTTGTACAGAAGAGTGCGACATGATACCTGATTGTTGAATCGATTCATCTTGAGCAATCCAGTTCTGCCATCTCGGAATTTGTGCAGATCCTTTGGTGATGATCCATAGATCATTGAGCCGTCTATGTAAGCGGTGTTCTGAGATTCAACTGTTCCTTGGTGTAATGACAAGTCGAGTGCCGATCGCACCTTTAGACACTGTTTTCTTGCTTCGAATCGAAATAATCCATAGGACGTTGGAAGTCCTACTCAAAGTCCAACGAAGGAAAACGCAACTAACGCTGAGTTGGGGTCATTTGCTGTGATAGGAATCGTCATGCATTTCGATTGTCCACCAGTTGAACGCGATGTGCACTGATGATGGTTGTTGTGTGTCTTGGCTATGTCGTGAATAAACTGACCCAGTTGATCATTAGGTTTATTGTACTGAAACATTTGACATTATGCGACGTCCGTAATAGTTAGATTTTAGTTCACTTATGGAAAATCTTACAGATAAGGCTCAAGACGTTGGACTTTGTCCAACGGACGGTTGACCCTGCCTTGGACTGAGGCTAAGACTACGGATGCTTGCATGAAAAGCTTGCTGAGCGCGATCCGACTAGGAAAGGATGTAAAATAATGCTGGCAAGAAACCTCCATATGTTCTCGCTAACGCATTTTTTAGCAGATACGAGGGAGTTTTGAGCTCTCTGTCTCGCAAATGTGCTGATGGGTAAATGGCCGGATAATTGCGATTTCACGTGCCCATTTCGTACTTGTACTCACCTTATCGTGAACAACACTTTGTGCTGATGAGAGCATGACTCGATTGGATTCACGAGCTGTCGGCCGTGATATTATGATCGAAGCTGGAAATAAACATAAGCAAAATCTGAAAAATCATCATAGGTTCTTGTGCTTTGGTCGGAGTCATTGAACGTGGTATAGCGGCACGTGGCGCGGCTTATCACGCTTCGGTGGTCGAGTACTGGATCGAATCTCGTGCAAGCTATCTAGGCCTCCCATCCCTTCGAAATCACTTAATCAGGTCCGGACTCATGTCGGAGGACAAAAGCACTGAGATTAACATTGGCGAAATACATTGCATATAAGGTCGCCCTCAAATGATTGCGATTCTATCCAAATGAAAGCGAAATGCGCGGCGCATAATGAAAAAAGATGTTCCCTTCTTTATTCTCCATTTCTGAGTCGTTTTAGTGCAGCTGTAACCCGGAAGTTCTAATATTGTAATTCAATTAGCCTGCTCCCTTTCATGATGTTCGAAGTTCTGTTCAGTGCCGGTCTGCTCAAGAAAGAAAAACTCCACTTGAACTTCACCTAGTCCCCAAGCCAAAGTTGATCTCAATGCTCCCCCCCCCCCCCCTTCCCCCTTGCACCTTCATGGAGAGCGCCGACCACCGCGATCAAGAAGCATAAAGCGCGGTTAGTGCACTGTAAAACTTATTGAATAGGTGAGTTTTACAGCGAAATTTGTGTAGTAGCGATCAGAACTTTACGGACTTCTCGTCAAGGGGAAGCATAGCAACAGAAGATGTAGTGATAAGAAATGCGGGCTTCATGTCGTTTGGGGGGCATTAAGGGAGTGAGCCCCTTCTGCACATGGGACCACGCCTTAGATAGGCGAAAGGAGTCTGGGGTAGAATGTGAGCAGTTTTTGTTATTCCTTAGCGTTTATTCCTACTCCAATAGCTTTAGTTTGTGCCACTTTACCAGCGGTTCTGATGCCCTTTATGGATATCTCCCATCCTCCCCCCCCCCAGAGAGCATCGGAATAGTCTATGGAAGGGGTCCGATGCAGAGTCTTCTCGAAAGTAACTACCCACCACCCACTGTTCCCAAAAACCAGGTGCTCGTCGAGTACAGACCACACAACACAACTGACGACGACCCCCGCAAAATGTGAATGTTTCCGGCCATTTATGAAATGATTAGCCGACTGCAGTTGTGTTTCTATCTGTCGTCACTAAACTATATCATTGTATCTACTATCTATTAGCTATCACTATGAACCACTAGTTACTATACTATTTCTTGGAGGCCGTCGTCACTTGTAGTGTGTGGTCTGCACTCGACGCGCACCTGGTTCTCGGAAGCAGAGGGTACGTGTCGTTTATCCCACCAGTTTACTCCAAGAAACACGCCTATGGAGGCTTGACCCATTGGAGACTAAAATCCTGTTGTGGAATCCACAACTCTTTATTCTAGTATGTAATTCCTTCAGGAAGAAGGCAAAAGGGTCACGACGTCTAACAAAGAAAGTCTTCCAGAGTGTGGACCGCTTTTTTCAGACGGTGTTCTGCATCTTACAAGAGCTCCATTTTCGCTGAGCAGCTCCGTGAAGGTCAAAAATGGTGACGAAATGATCCAAAAATCGGTTCAGTGGTGACAAAAAAATTTCATTTTAAGCTGGAGCTCAGACAGTTCACAGGATTTCGCATAGCGTCAGGTATAGTCCTAGTTTATCACAAAGCCAGAGCTATTCTTCGCCAAAAGTTCATACTCTCAATCTGCTGAAACACTCCTTATAAAGCCTAATTTTTTCAATCCATTTTCGGCCTCCTTGGGATCGCTGAGCGAAAGTGATTCTCAGCTTTGTAGTACAACTGAGAGCCCCTACAGCATGCAAAAGATCGTTTCGAAAATGCGCTCTATAACCCGAAAGGCCTTCCCTGCTAGCTCCCAAAACAGAACCAATTCCCATTTAGGAATGGTTTGTACGAATACGGAAAATAGTAAGTCCGCCCTATGGTGAAGCTAGCCCAGGAGCGACGGAATTCAGAGCCTAAGGCAACTAAGTTCTTCACTCTAACCCCATCGATGCGAGCGATGTTGAACTTCTTCTATTCCATCAGAAGAAAAATAAGGAGGAATAATTCGAATTTCACAATGAGCTGAAAATCTGTCCAATCTCGGCTCATCTCATTCCTCGCGAAGCGGAGCCGCTCGTGTTGATGATATTGAATCAACCGTGGTGCATTTATATCATTTATTTCCTTTGACCTTCAAGTCTAATCGTTAAAGAAATTAAAAATAGCCCGGCCAAATAAATTCTGCGTGCGGACCGCATCCAGTTCCATAGTAACCCGATCTTCCACCGAACGCAGCAAAAAATCGTTACAGTGGCAGGAAGGCGCAATCAAAGGATTTATGAGTGGCACGAATTGACGAAGTGGCTATATTATGTTTAGAATATCAAACGCAAATCAACATGGAAACTTACAGATCGGCTCTCCTGCTCCGTCATCGTACTGCGGTGGAAAGTGCCTGAAAAAAGCAATTAGTGGGAAGGACTCCTAGCTTTGATATCCCAATTGTTTTTTTTTGCTTAGGAAAACTTCATCGGCACTGTTGGCCTAAGGTATGACGTTAAGAAGAGCATTCTTTTCGCTTTTTGGCCACAATCCAAAAGCGTCTACTTTTCTTCAATAGTAGGACTTGTGATTTCTATGATTATTTGTGTTTGTTTTGTCTGCTGTCCAAGTCGATAAAGGATAAAAGGATAAAGCATTTGCCGTTGATCAATCCCTTTTTGGGATGCGGCACGCATTCTACTTCCATTTGTACATTCGTAGTGGCGTTTGAATGCGATGTGGCCTATACAATGACTTGCGGGGCCAGCCGATGTACAAGTCAGTGTTTTTATCCTCCCAGACAAGTCTGGTACCAATTAACCGACCCCGGAGGGATGGAAGGCTTGGTTGGCCCGGGCGACTCACGACCCAGGATTTGATCCCCGGACCGCTCGCGTGGTAAGCGTGCCACTTGCCACACCACTTCCGCCCTGGGGG